GGCTTTTTTTCTTTTTGCTTATGTGGTGCTGGGGAATTGAACCCAGGGCCTCATGCATGCAAGGCAAGCGCTCTACCACTGAGCCACCTTCCCAGCCCCCATATTAGTTCTTTTTAAGACAGTGTTTCACCGTGGAGTTCAGGTTGGTCTGGAATTTTGAAGTACCCCAGGGTGGCCTCCAACTTCCTGCCTCAACTTCCCAAGTGTTAGGACTACAGGTGTGCATGGTGGTGCCTGACTCCTTGTGTTGCACAACTGTGTAACAATGACTCACTTTTCAAGTGCTCACTATGCTCCGATGCTGTATATACATACATACACCCTGGTACACGAATATTCTATAAATGGAAAAAATGTTTGGAGACATAAGAAATCCATGACATGATGCTAGTAGATGACAAGGGTGTGTTGATCACTGTCTCTGCATAACCACCGTCCCCTAATTCTTGCTCTTCATTCTTTTTTTTTCTCTCTCTCTCTTTTCTGTGCATGTACCAGGGCTTGAACTTGGGGCCCGAGTGCTGTCCCTGAGCTCTTTGTCTCAAGACAGGTGGCTCTACCACTTGAGCCACAGCTCCACTTCAGGTCTCTGGTGGTTCACTGGAGGTAAGAGTCTCATGGACTTTGCTGCCTGGACTGGCTTTGATCTGAGGTCCTCAGATCTCAGCCTCCTGGATGGCTAGGCCATAGGCGTGGGTCTCAGTTCTGACATTATGGGGTGGGCGTTTCCATCCTCTCCACTTTGTGGATGGAAGAAGGGAACCAGGGAGGGAATAAGTTATCCACAGTCACCTATCAGGAGTGCAGAGGCTGCGGCGTAGTCTCTGGCTCCCTATTTCTTGGCCCACACGTGGTAGCCATTGCACTGGTGTAGACACTCAAACCCTAGGCACCAGTAGGCCACACCGGAGCCAGGGGACAGCAGTAATCCTCCCCTGGTTCTGTGGCATCTTTCTTCTAATGGACTGGGCATGTGTGGGGACTGTACAGCCCACCAACCAGAACACATCTCCAGGTCCACTTTACCCCTGCTCCCAATATACCTCCTGCCTCCAACCCAAGGTCAAGTTTGTGAACACTGAGCAGGCGCAGGTGGCTCACGCCTGTCATCCTAGCTACTTGGGAGGCTGAGCTCTGAGGATGGCAGTTGAAAGCCAGCTTAGCTTGGACAGGAAAGTCCATGACACTCTCATCCAATTAACCAGCAAAGAAGGCAGAAATGGAGCTGTGGCTCAAGCAGTGGAGTGCTAGCTGTGAACAAAAGAAGCCCAGGGAGTGCACATGGGCCCCGAGTTCAAGCCCAGAAACACACACACACACACACAGAGCAGGTGAGCGCTGACTTGTGGCAGTGAAACTCACTATTGTCTGAAATCCAAGTCCCCTGGAAAGTGGCTGCCAGTGTCACAGTTATCACAGGACCGGGCAAAGCAGGGCATTAGAGGACGAGAACCATTGAAGCTTTCCATGGGCACTGGGGGCCTGTACTCACTGGCACCCACAGCCCCTGGACAACCAGGCTGTGAGCACAGCATCCAGGCAGATGAGTTCCCAAAGGCAAACTTAGGTTTTTCAGAAGTGATCTTTTAGATGCTGTTGGCCCATTTCCAGTTCCAGGTCTTGGCTACCAGGACACTGCTGGGCTCACAGGTGCACTGCAGGGCGCTGCCCTTCTGGGGCCCAACAGTAGATTTGGGCCCAGGTCCCGTGGTGATTGCAGGCCAGCTCGCCACGGGACTGGCAAGCAAGGCCATTGCTAGCCGGTGGAGGCTACAGGCATGTTGTCTGAGCCTAGGAGATGTGAGATTAACACGTATTAAACCACTTCTTTAAGTACACACGTTATTCTTATTTTTTAAAATCATCAACTGCTGAGCCGCAGCCGTGCCCCGCAGTGAAGGAGCAGAACACGGAAGGAGCCCTCGGCACGTGTAGCCCGGCTAAGCAAATCTTGGGGGCCGCGGCCGCTGCAGGAGTCCAGCAAGCTGCACACCCCGTGCGGGGCTGCCTCGGTGTTTCCCAAACATTGCTGAGGGTAGGAAGCATCTAGAAGGCCTGCTGAAGCTCAGGCAGGGCAGCATCTAGCACTAGGTGTGAATGAACAGCATTCCTAACAAGCTCTCCAGCCCGCCTCTGGCTGCTTTCTGGCTGAGCACTGTTGTCTAAGGTCTGGTGGGTCTGGGCTCTCGCCACCACTCTTTTCCCATGCACGTGGCAGAGCTGGGGCTTGGATATTCAGGGCCCAGACCCAGGACTCTGGGCCTTTTCAATCAACGCTGGTCCCCTGCCACTTGAGCCACAGCTCCACTTCTAGCTTTTAGGTGGTTGATCAGAGATGAGAGAAGATCATGGACTTACCCTAAGCCTTGGTTGGCTTCGAACTCCCGTCCTCAGATCTTCGGCCTCTGAAGTAGCTTGGATTACAGGCGTGAGCCACGGAGCTGGGCTGCGGGAGTCATTGGGTGCCCGTGGGCCCGAGGAAGTGCGGAGAGAGCCTGCGGGACGCTGCCTGCGTGGAGAGGCATCCGTGGGAGATTTAGGAAGAGCGCGGCGTGGGCCACACAGGGAGGGGGACACGCCGTCCGTGAACACACGGGGAGATCGAGGCAGGGGTGCAGGAGGGTGGGCGGAGGGAAAGCGGGGTAGAAGCCCAGGTGGGGCTTTTGGGGACGGAGGGCGCAGAGGACGATGGGAGGGGGTGCGGTGCGCCCCGGGCCCGGGGCTGAGGCCTCCCCTCCCCTCCCGCTTTGCAGGTGGGCGCGGCGGCCGCCATGCGGCGCGTGCTGCTCTGGCTGCTGCTCTCCG